GTTAATGTAGGTAACTTTTTTGTGTGGTGAGAATGTTAAAGATCTACTCTTATTTTTTATTATTTTTAAAGATTTTACTATTTCCTTTTAGAGAGAGGGTAAGGTATAGAGAAAGAAAGGGAGAGCAACATCAGTGTGGAAGAGATACATTGACCAGTTGCCTCTTGTACACCTACAACTGGGACCTGGCCCACAACCCAGGCATGTGCCCTGACTGGGAATCAAAGTGGTAACCTTTTGGTTCACAGGCTGGTACTCAGTCCACTGAGTTACACCAGACAGGGCAAAGCTTCATTTTCTTCTACCTTTAACTTTGTATCCTTTGACCAACATCACTCTATTTTCCTCTCCTCTTAGCCTTTGGCAAACACCATTGTATTCTGTTTCTATGAAATCAGCTTTTTAAAAAGGAGGACTCTTGAGGGTTGTAATGGTACTGTGAATCCCCCAGCATTGCCTCCCTGGGATGGTACAATTATTCCCAGTCCTCTCTGATGTCTAATAACATAATGACAGGGTTCATTTTGGTGTATCAGTCTCCAGGGCAAACCTTTGTAAGACTAGCTGTGATTGTCTGCTCTGGCAGGAGGCCCCTTCTCAGAGTCACCTGAGTATATCCTGCCCACCTCTGCTCTGCACTTTTGCTCGGGCTGTCCCCACTAGCTGGGATGTATTCATACTCTCTCCCCATTCTGCCTCTGCCTTTTGAGATCTTACTCATTTGTAGCAGTCAACAGTGATCTGTAGGCATCAAAAGCTACTCTTGCCGTTTGAAGCAAGTATAGCTGTTTAATTACTGCTGTTTAATTAGGTACTTACAAAATCGCTGGGATGGGAGGAAGTGGGGCCTCTGGTCTGGGTCTCCAGGCATGATGCCCACAACACCAGCACTGAACTGGCCCACCAAAGGGAGCCACTCCTGTTTTCACCTCCAAGGAGATGGGAGGCTACCACTGGAGCAATGGCTTTCAGGACATACAGCGAGGACTGCAGTCCAAGGGAAGGTGGCTATCACCACAGCCACTGCAATTGACTCTCAACACCCACAAAGCCAATGACTGGACACTGGAACACTGCTTGTTAGGAGTGAAAGACTAAACAGATTAAGATGTAGGAAGATGACCTTTTTCTTACCCTAGTCTTCTAAATACATGAGTATATAAAAATAAATAAAATGAATATATAGGGTTCCAGCACAAATAATGCCCCTCTTATTACAAAATCTTTTAGTACAAAATGATAAGTATGTAATTCTGTAACATAAGAATATTACACTCAAGCACACCATATGACATTTTAGGTAAAATGTTCAAATTAACACTAAACCTATTATTAAACCTATATTATTACCTATCAACCACACTCAAGCAGGTGTCACTTCTGCTGGGTTCTGTATATGTAAATCTATACTCCAAATATAAATAGAAAATATGTGACTATGAGATTAAATAATTTGCATAGATTGTAAGCATCTTGACCTACTAAAACACATTTTATTTCCTATGCCCCCTGAATTGTACTTCTAGAATAGTGTTTTGCCCAAATGCTCAATAAATGTTTACTAAATTAGTTGAAACTAGATATGTTGTTGGAAACTACCTTCCCCTGTTTGGGCTTTAGTGTTCTCCTTTGAGAAGTAAAGGGCTTGGATGCACTGATCTCTAAATTCTTTCAGCTTATATACTTGGAGTTTCCTTGGGTTGAGTTGCAGGGGCGGCCACAAGAAGAAATGCCATTATAGTTCTCTGTGTGCCAGGCTCTATTCTAAGCACTTAACATCCCATGTTTCCTTTGAGCCTCTCAACAGCCCCATGAGGAAGTTATGGTCCTTGTCCATTCGTACTTCACATGTGAGGAAATGGGTGCTCAGAAAAGAGAAGTCACTGATCCATGGTCACACCACTAGTGAGTGGCTGAGCTCAAATGCCAAGTCATGTCTACCTGACTGCAAAGCCTTCCTTCTCTCAGACAGAATGACATCTTAGGCATAGTTTTTTCTTCTTGTCTTCCTTTCCCCTTTCTCATGTATTCTTGTTTCATTTTCATCATCATCCAAAAGCATGGCAGGTCTCCTGGCCTATATCTTATGGGTCTTACCCCTTTTCTTGAAACTGAAGTTAAGTATAGTTTTCTTGGTATTGACCACATGTGACATGTGTTGAAAGCTGAGAGTCATTCACATTGCTGGTTTGGTTGTTGATGAACACCAATGAGCTGGTCCCATCTCCCTGAACAGGGACACATACCACAGGACCTGGTTTTGATACCTATCAAGAGATTAAAAGCTAGAGAATACCTTATTGAGTAATTTCTTTTTGGGGCATTAATTATCTAATATTGTTCTTTTTATAAAACTTGCTTATTTTTGTAATAAAATATTCAATATCATTTTAGGCTTAAAATCCATATTTGTATGCATAGAATGAGATCTGGAAATACACGCTAAAGGTATTAATCATGTTTATATGTAGATAGTACAGTCAGGATTTTTTGTGGATTCTATTATGTGCGTATACTGATGTTTTTCTATCATGAGCTTGTATTACTTTAGTAAGAACAGAAGAATTATAGAGCAAAATGTTGACCATGCTTTGAATTGGCATGCTCTTAAAGCTGAATCCATCACATGCCTTTCCTCTGTGCCCCTGACCCTCACTCAGTGAGATGCAACACTCTTGTATTTCACCAACCCACAGAAACCGGACTAAATTGTTATTGTCAATTAAGACAGGACAATTGTTATTGTTAAACCGGACAGGAATTGTTATTTAATTTTACAGATGAGAATACTGAAGCCTGGAGTGTCCATCTAGGAAGAGGCACAGCCAAGACTTACAGAATCCACATTCTCTTATGCTTATCACTTCAACACAGCATTTCCATTAATTAAATGAAATGATACTAGGTATTCAATAAAATGATAGTTATTGCCGCTGGTTGCTTCTCCTCCACTTCCTTCTCATCACTCTCCTCCTCCTTCTACTCAGTATCCTTATGGCAATTTATATTTTGAGAGGTTTCTGTCTGTTTATGAGTGTAGTAGAACCCCCAGAAGAGGAGGGGTGACATCAAGTGCAGAAAATCATCCCTGTGGCATCTCCTTCTCTTTCCTTTCTCTCTCCTCCTCCTTCCCTCCATCTTTCATTCTTAAGTTAGTTCTATAAATATATTTTGGACAATATTTTATTGCCTCAAAACATGTGGTTTACAAATAGGAAATACAAATTATGTTTTTAAAGTAAAGCAATGGATTCATTAAACATTTTAATATATAGGGTCTGGCAAAAGTAACGCCCCTATTCATTACAAAATCTTTTAGTACAAAATCATAAGTATGTAATTCTGTAACAGAACATCACATTCAAGCATACCATATGACATTTTAGCTGAAATTTTCAAATTAAAACATAAATTATTACAACCATATTATTACCCTACAAACCACACTCAAGCAGGCGTTACATCTGCCAGACCCTGTATTTTAAAGGGCTGAAGAGTAAACACCTTTCTCCTTGTCAAAAAAGTAAAGTACACTTTCTCTCCATCTCTCTTCCACCCCTAACTCACTCCCCCATCTGAAGTGAACTTCTTTTATTAAGTACAGAGTGTCTGTACACACACATAAAAACACACACCTGGCTCCTCTAGCAGTGGCCCAAGCACCACGGCACTGTTGCCAGTGCAGATGTCTCCTTACGCTGAATCCAGGGCAGCAGCCACAGCAAAATGGCACAGTGGTCATGCTTGCAGCTGTTCAACATACAAGAGAAATGACCAAAATGCCTTATTTTCAGGAGATCTTGCTTAGGCCTATGAATGGAGTCAGGCAGCAGGTTAGGCAGGAGAGGAGGTCAGCTTGGGTTGATTTAGAGGCATTCCCTTTAAAGTTAGAACATTTGATAAAAGGTTATTGCTGGAGGGGAGTGGGTATGCAAATATTGTCCCCACCAGAGGAGGGATATACTTAATTCAAGCAGACTCAATTCCCACTTCAGGGGCCACCTTTCCTTCTGCTTCTTTCCTGTCATCTCAGAAGCAGCTTTGGGATTTCTCAGGGTGGGACAAATCAAGGTTTGTTTTCAGTAAAGATCACAGGAAGTTGGCTGTTATTGCCCTCTCTCCAGAGAAAACAAGCCCTTAGTTTCTCAAGGCAGTGTCCACATGAAGGCACCAGAAGTGGCTGCAACACACACAGCATCTCTGGGCAAAGACTTCTTTTGTAGAGAAGAACCTTCCTATTCAAATCGAGCTACCAGAGTTCCCAAATACAGGCATCCACAAACACACTCAGAAGGTAGCCTCCAGCTCCCTCACATGCCTGGGTGGTTACCTCTCCCAAATCAGTTTCTCCTTCATGGCCACAACAAAGTTTTTCTGAAGTTTATTGATGTTTGGTTTGATCAGCTCCTAGGAAAGTGGATTAGGAGACAGATCCCAACATTAGGGCAGGAAAATTTAGGCCCAGAGTGCCCTTGGGTTTGTTCCAATGGAGCTTTCTCTCGTACAGAATTTTAGCAGTTAGTCTGATGACCCAGGAATGACCCTCATCTAGAGCAGCTGCTGCTCCTTAGAATTTGGACTTCTAAAGGTCTTAAGACACTAGAAAAAGTTAATATCCTGAATAAGCTTTCTTTCTGTGATAATTTGGCAGGCTTTCTCCATGAGGGACAGAGGTGAGGAGAAAAGGCAAGGCACCAAGCCAGGACTGACTCCACTACTCACCAGCCTCTCCGAACACCAGCTCCCAGAACTTATAAGGGGAGGGGGTGGGAATGGAATCTGCATTTGGTGAAAGGTGTGATTTTCCCCAACCAGACCATGTAAGCTCTTGAGAGGGTTCCAGGAGGCATGGGCACTGCTGTCCAAGCTATAAACATTCCAGCCAGTTCCTTGCAAAAGATGCCCCTGCAAAGACCTTTGTGCGACAGCAACAGCTGTGCTGACTGAAGAGGTGTTTGTGGTGGGTTCTCCTTGTTCTGAGTTGCAACCACTTTTTACTTTCAGAGATGCTCCTCAGACACAGTGGTGGGTACTTTGCTGGCATTGCTCTCCTCCTCCTCCTGGAGTTTATTTTCAGGATTTTCTTTGCTTTTTGCCTCCGGAGATCTGCCTTGATGAATGCAGTGAGGGCTGTCCCAAGGGTGAGAAAGACACATAAAAAGATGTTCCCATGCATGGTTCCATAGTTGCTGATAATCTGTCCCTGGGAGATGGTGAAGATGATCCCAAATACTTGGGCAGACATGTTTAGGAGGCCAGATGACATGCCTTCTGATTCTGGGTATGTCAGCTCCACAGCAAACTCAAAACCCCAGCGGGAGATGGCCAGTCATAAAGAAGCCCATTGTGCCAGTGGTGATGAACACTATCCACAGATGTCCCAGGTTCAAGGTCATGGTGTACACCACCATGCCCACCAGAGTCATGATATAGACAACCAGGACTATCTCCTTGTAGGTTTTGAACCTACTGAGCCAAATGCCTGAGATCACAGCCCCAAGCATTCCTGAAATGATGATGGTCAGGCCAATTCTTCCAGCATTCACTTCTTCCCCCGGATAGTGCAAGATCACCATGCGATTCAGCAGAGTGGACAAGGCATAAAAAGCCCCAGCATTCAGACCATAGGTGATGACAAGCAGTATGAAATTGAGGTTTTTGAAGAGCCAGGCAATAGAACTTAAGTATGAAGCATCATGGGATGCCAAGGCATAGCTCAGGGACTGGGCCCTGCTGGGGGGATATTTATGCTTCTCCTTGAATATGATTATGACAAGGATAAAAAGAAGAGTGGCAAAACCTCCTATTAGGTAGAACATGTGGCAGATGTGGTAGGCAAGCTTGTCCTTGTCTTCGATATTGGGTACCAAAATAGGAGGGACAAAAAACCCAATTGCAATTCCAAGCTGATTGCCAAAGACAGCTATGGAGCAGGCATTTGAAACCTCATTAGGTCCAAACCAGACTGAAGCTATGTGGGAGAGCATGCCCAGGATGAAGACCTGTGCCACAGAGCAGATGACCTGGCCCAGTATAGTGACTGCAAAGAGATGTGGCTGCAGACTGCCCAACTTCACCCAGGCCCCCAGGCAGTTGAGAGCGGAACCAGTAAGGGCAATGGTGCGCAGGCCGAATTTTTCCAGCAGCCAGGCCACTGGCAGTAGTAGAAAGATGTAGGTCAGCATGTAGCACATGGACAGCCAGTCAATGGCAAAGGGACTGACCTCGTAAAAGTTCATGAAGATGTTACTAACAGAGCCATACTGGATCCACTGAAAGGCATTGCACATTGAGTAGTAGCTAAATAACAGGACCACTGCCCAACGGCGCTTGCTCACCTTGATCACTGTGAAGTCCTTGCATCCTGAGCTACTGGGGTGCACTGAACTACTTGGGCTGGCCAAGCCACCTCCTTGGGCCAAGGTACTGGAGTGGGTTGAACTTCTGGGGTACACAGAGACACTAGGGTGAGCAGACATGCTGGGTTCTGCCTGGAGCACAAATTCCTGCTCAGGGGTGCCATCGTTTTCTTCCAGGTTGGGATATTCATTCACCATGACCACGGCCTCTCCTGGAGCCCTGGACTGGTGCTGAGGATTCTAGCACTCTTAAGGGATGGTAGCCTAAGCTGGTCCCCTGAAGCTGATAGGGCACTTGTCTCAGTCTGTTGGTCTGTCTCAGAAGAAATTGAGACTCAAGCTTGCATAAAAGCCACAAGTTGATCTCCCAATGCTCACCTCCGAGACTTTGCCCTCACTTTTCTGTGGAGCCCGCTGCCCCCAAGCCAGCTGCAAACTCCTCAGCCATGTCCTAGCTGCCGGTGACTTTACTTGTTCTAAGGCGTTCTGGCCACGTTCAGCCCCTGATGGAGGAAAGAATTCACTCTTCTGGTAGCCACTTCCCCTAACTCAGTCGCTCAAGGCTGGCTTGGGGCCTCGCCCCCTCAGGCACACGTGACCGCCCCTCCCATCCCTCCCCATCCTTGGGCATCCCTTGTCTTCCTACCTTGCTCCTCCTCTCCCTCCTGCCTCTTACCCCGCCCACTCCTAATGACCTTGAGCCTGGTGGCTCAATTGTTTTGCCACAAATTGCCTGGTGCATTCCTTTCCAACACCCCGTATGCCATGGAAACCATCAGCTTAACCCCTACCTCCTAAACTGTCCCTCCAATTCATGTGCCCCTCCCAGAGCTCTATGCGGAAAAAATCCCATCTGCCCTTCCGAGGTAACCTCCAAATAGAGTTTCCTCACTCCAGTCCGCATCTTCTGGCTATAAATATTTGTTTTAAACTCTCCTGAAGATTCACTGGAGATTCAAACTTAGCCATGGCAGATGGCCTGAGAGGCCAGCTTTCATGACCAGATTCTTCTCTTTTCAGCAATGAAACATAAATATTTTACAATCAGCATATTTTATCTGTGAACTAAGGCTTTCTGATTACTTTCCATCAGCAGAGCCTAGTTTATTTGTTGCCTTGGCTTTTAAAGATGTGTCTTGTATGTAATGTATTCGTGACAACCAGTTGCTTTTGTTTTAAGAAAAGTCATCTCAGAGGGACAAGTTACAATATGCTCCCCCCAACCCAAATGTAATTTTAGATGTGATAAAATAACATCTACAAGCATTACTATAAAGGGCCAGATGTGGGCTATAATAGTGCCTAGCATATGCCTCTGTTTATCATACTTTGTACTTGTCAGTTTATTTGTCCACACCCCATTCCTCCTCACTCTACTGTGTGCTCCTTAAGGGTAGGTCTGTGTCTTAATCACTTTCATATCCTCAGGGTCTGATACATATTAAAAGTAGAATAACAATGAAAAATAACATGGTCTCTGCACAAAAGGATAATTTACAAGCTTCTGAAACTTTCTGGAAATATCCTGAGGCTTGAGTTCATCATCTGTTCAGCAGGTGCAGGAGTGATTTTACAGAGTGGCTGCTCAGGGACTCTAGCTTGCCTCCCCCACCCATTTCTTCTTGGTCTTCTTGGTCTCCTCTTTGTCCTTCAGGGACATGCTTGCATCAGCAAATCCTGGCTCCTTCACACTTGGCAACAAAGAGTTTAAAGTCTGTTTATAAAGAATGTCAAAGTCCCATTTGAAGTCTACGTACTAGCTTTCCCATGTTTTCACTTTATTTAGAGTCCTAACTAGATCTTAGAAGTTGTCATCTCTGCTAACATATTCTCTGAGTCTGAGCCCAAGAAAATGAATCATGAAAATATTTAATTCAACTGCCAGAAACAGTAATGAGGATAAACATGTTAGAGGCCCAAATTGATTATCCTGTGCTCCCAGTCCATCTGTGAAAGCTGTTTCTTTCTCCAACCCTAAACGTTTGTAAGTGCAAGGGCCATAAGACCACAATCAGCAGGAAATTACAAAACTCTGGGCTTCTAAAAGCGAAGCCCAACCTTTGGAAGTTCATGGCATAGGAATTGGACAAATTTATGTTAAAGATATAGACAGAGGTAGCACTGGACCTTAACCACCACCTTTGTGGCTGACAAACTGGATGGCCCTGGGTAAGTCACCAAACTTCTCTGTGACTCTGTGGAGTCATCTGACAAGTGAAGGCACTCAATATTGAGTGCCTATGTGGAGTTACCAGGCAGCTTAAGGTCACCTCTGTGTATGGAATGTGCTTTGAAAGCTGGAAGGTGCTGACATGCTCACAGGAGGAGTTCCTCTTAGGGTGGCTGCTTGGTTACAGATCTTGCAATAGAGGTCAAAGTTTGCTTTAGCTCCACTTTGCAGACATTTAAGATTAGTAATCCCATGAAGTATTGCTCAAATTACTTCTGAAATCCTGTTATTGCCCAGAGAATTCAACATTGCCAAGCATGTGTGCCAAGCATGTGTACCAAGCATGCTGTATTTTTTACACAGTAGAAATGATCTTGAAGAATTGAATGAAAATCATATAGTTATACAACAACTCAAATTTACTTAAGGGAAGTTTTGTTTTTGCAAGAAACCTGTGATGAATTATTTGGTAAAGGAAAAAACCCTTTTGCAATGGACATAATCACCTTCTATTTCTTCTGTAAGTTTAGATTCTTGTGTCATCTTTTCTTCAGCCTGCAATGTATCCTAAAGTCTTGTAATATAAAATAATGCACTCTGTCATATTCTACAAAGATGATAATGTAATTTAAGTGTTTAGCAAATAAAAAGCAAATACTTATTCATGGTGATAGTAATTGTACCTGTTTATTGAATGCTTGCTATGTGCCCCACGCTGTGCTAACTGCTTTATATGCTCTGTCTTATTGAAGCCTCATTATTTGACAGATGTCGTCAGGCTGGACTATAGTAGTTTATATTGTATAGAGTTTGGAGCCTGAGTCATGGGACTGGGAGAGAACATAAAAGGTCTCAGGTTAAGAGGAGGACCCTGTAGTCCAGAAATGGAAAGCAATTTCCCTTGAGCCACTCAACAAGTTATTGGAAAGACTGGGATTAGAAAGGATGCTTCCATGCTCCCAACCCAGTGTCTGTTCCCTACACTACCCTGTCTCGACTGCAAATAACACCTCATGATCTATGGATGCCTGATCATAGTGGTCACAGGTTAAGGAATGAATAAATTATAAATAGATTTTATATTTTAAAAGTGCCCAGCAGTCCTGAATCCAGTGCCTTTCGTACCTGAGATCTGTTTAAGTCTGGTGAGAGCTGGCTAGATAAGGAGTCCTACTGAAAAATAATGCTAATATTAATAATAGCCTTGGTAAAATATATAAAGAAGAGTAGAGTTTAAAATGGAAACATGTTGAAGGACATAGAAAATCACACAAGACACAGCATTGGGCCCAATATGATTGAAACCACAGTTGGGCAAACTTTATCTATAAAGGACTAGATAGTAAAATATGTGAGGCTTTGAAGTTCATATGGCCTCTGTTCCAATTACTGACCTTTGCCATTGTAGTATGAAAAAAAAGCCACAGACTGTACAGAAACACATGGGCAGGTCTGTGTTCCAGTAAAACTTTATTTACAAAACAGGTGGCAGGCTAGATTTGGTTTATGAGCCATAGTTTGCTGACCTCTGACTTACACAATTCTGGTCCTGTATTGAGGAGTGTGAGTTGATATGTTTCTGACTGCATTGGGGTATGTATTCTTTTGTCAGGCAGGGAGGAAATGGCTAAGCCCAAGTTAGGATAGAGCAGTCCGTATTGCCCAAGGTCCCTGGTTACCCATGAGTGTGCCAAAGGCCACATTTCTCAGAGGGTATTCCTTACTGATATAGTGGCTATTGAGTTTCACTGTTCTTTTTGGAAACACAGCTTAAGAGGTATTTTGAGCAGTGAAGTCATATCAGCTAATGTCTCCTAGTGGTGATGATGTAAGGAGACTTGACTTGGGGTGGTGAGCACACAATACAGTGTACAGATGATGGGCTGTGGAATTGTGCACCTGAACCCTGTATAATTTTCTTAACCAGTGTCACCTCAATAGATTTTAAATTTTTTAAGTAAAAAAATAATTAAAAAACAGAGAAGCTCTAGCCTTAGACTCACCAAATACCAAACCCTACAAACTGTTCCTCTGAACTTAATTCCCCTCCCCACCATTGTTCTCCTTATTCAGTCAAAAGTATTTCTGAATAATGATAATGATGGTCATGCTGGTTAATAATTATTGAGGACCTTCTATGTGTTAGGCAATTCACCTGACTCCTACCGACAACTGTATGAGTCAGATACTGTCATTTCCCCCATTTTGTACAATTTTGACAATTGGCCTCAAAGAAGTTCATGGCTTGATCAAGGTCAAAGAGCAATTAAGTGGCTGAAGTGGATCTAAAGCCCAGGCTAGGTGATGATAAAGTCTACGGTTTTGATCACTCTACCACACTTCCATCTCTCCCCCAGGTTCTTGAGGGCACAGTTAGCCTGCCTTTCAATGTAGTCATAATCTTTGTCTTCCCCTGAATCTGGATCTGAGAATGTTTTCTCACTTCTTGCTCTCCCACATCACTCTTGTCTGTCCTTCCTTCCCAGTCTCAGGCCTGTAGCACTTCATACCTGGACTGCTGCATTGGCTCCTGACTGGCCTTTCTTTAAAATAGCTCTATTGACTAGAGAGAAGGGAGGAGAGGAATAATGTGGGAAAGAGGGGGAAGGGTCAAGTCAAGGAACACATATAAATGACCCATGATAATGGACAGCAGGGTGGGGACTGACTGTGGAAGCAGGTAATGGGAATGGGGGGCAGAGGAGACCAATGGGGGGAAAATTGGGACAACTGTAATTTAACAGTAAAAAAATAAAATAGCTCTATTGAGATACAGTTCACACACCATACAAGTTACCTGTATAGTCCATTTAAGAACATTTTTGTCACTTTACAAAGAAGCCCCAAACCACTTAGCTACCACACCACTATCCCCTGTGCCTCCTCCCTCCAGTCCTAACCGACCATGAATCTACTTTCTGTCTCTTTGGATTTCCCTATTTAGGACATTTCATATGAATGGAACCACAGAGTAAGTGGATGTCTGTGACTGGCTTCTTTTGCTTAGCATAATGTTTCCAGGGTTCAT